GCGTTGTCAAGTCTCTGGCAGCAAGGAGTAAGCTGGAGAAGAAGCCACGTTCTGAGGAACTGTTCATGATCTTCATTCAACGTTCCATTCATGTGTTCAGGACAGTTCATGTATTGGAGAAATCATTAACTGTTGATGACATTTGAGGATATTTTTTTAACAACGTTTTTTGAGGGATCCCTTATGCGGCCCAGCCTCAGCCAGACTCTGCCTCCAGCGGCCCCCAGGTAAATTGAGTTTGAGACCCCTGGGTTAGATGCTTTAGGGCAGAGTGTCCAATCTTGGCAAAAAAAATTTCATCTCCGGAGGTGGGTGGGGGATGAGTCTGCTTACCGAGATGAGGTGGATCAGTTGCTTTCGTGGTGTGGAGACAATAACCTGGTCCTCAACACCAATAAGACCAAGGAGTTGATAGTGGACTATATAGAAGGAACAGATCAGACATCCAGCCCTTGCTTATCAATGGAGACCGAGTGGAGCAAGTGGCCGGTTTTAAGTTTCTGGGTGTTACCCTAAAAGAGCACCTGACCTGAGGCGCTCACCTTGCAGCCCTGGTCAAAAGGGGCCAGCAGAGATTATACGACCTGAGACTTCTCAGGAAACAACAACTGGATGAAAAACTGCTGGTGACCTTCTACCGCTGCACCATAGAGAGTATCTTAACTTACTGCACCTCTGTATGGTTTGCCAATTGCACAGGGGCAGATAGGACAGCGCTCCAGAGGGTTAATGTCATTGCCCTGAGGATCATGGGTTGCCCTCTCCCCTCTTTGGAAGAGCTTTATAGCTCCCGCTGCCTTAAGAAAGTTCAAAACATTCTCAAAGATCCATCTCATCCTGGATACCCTTTTTTGAACTATTACCATCTGGCAGACGGTACAGGATAATAAAAACAAGGACAAATAGGCTGAAAAACAGCTTCTATCCCAGGGCAGTAGCTCTGTAGAATTCTACTGTAGAGTGCAGTATTGGTGCAGTGTCAGGGGTTTTCGGTTCAATGTGTGGAGTGTGAAGGATGTATGTTTGTGTGTGTGTGTTTGTTTTCATAGTCATAAATTGCATGCTGAAGATGGTATTTAATTTCGTTGTACGAGTTGCAATGACAATAAAAGTAAACTAGACTAAACTAATCTAAACTAAAGTTTAAGACTTGTGGACTTCAGCTCCCAGAATTCCCCAGCCTGGGGAATTCTGGGAGTTGAAGTCCACAAGCCTTAAAGTTGCAAGATTGGACACCCTGAGTTACAGCAAACCTAGAATTGGCTGGGGAATGCCGGGATTTGAAACCCACAAGCTCGGAAGCTGGCAAGGTTGGGCACCCCCTTATTTAGAGGGTTCAGCACACGACAGATGTCTAGCTATTGCCCCAGCCGAGAGCCTCGTGGCCGGGCATTCTGGGACATCAAGTCTTAACACAGATGGGAGGAGGGACTGACGTAATCCTGGGACTCCTTTTCATAGGGGATTCGCGCCAGGGAGATCTTGCAGAAGGTCTTAGAAAAAGCCATCCGGGAAAAGCTGCAGAGCTCGCAAGGCAAGGACTACCTGGATGCCCTGGACCTGCTGATCGAAAGCGGCAAAGAATATGGCAAGGAGCTGACCATGCAGGAGCTGAAGGTACCGTCCCTGAGCCAGACAGGCAGCAGGCTCCACTTCCCTCCGTGGCCACTGGGGGCGCTAGGCTCCCCCTTTTGTGCTCAATGCTAGACCAGGATGAATAGAATAGAAAATGGAATGGAATGGAATGGAATATAAAATAGGGAATGAAATGGAATAGAATAGGGAATAGGATGGAATATAGAATACAGTAGAGTAGGAATAGAATAGAATAGATGATATGGAATGGAATGGAATGGAATGGAATAGAATAGAATAGAATAGAAAATAGAATAGAATAGAATAGAATAGAATAGAATAGAATAAAAAGAAAAAAAGAAAAGAAAAGAAAAGAAAAGAAAAGAAAAGAAGAAAATATGGAATGGAATATAATATAAAATATGGAATGAAATGGAGTAGAATAGGGAATAGGATAGAATATAGAATAGAGTAGAGTAGGAATAGAATAAAATGGAATGGAATGGAATGGAATAGAATGGAATAGAAGAATAGAATAGAATAGAATAGAATAGAATAGAATAGAATAGAATAGAATAGATGATATGGAATGGAATGGAATAGATAGAATAGAATAGAAAAGAAAATATGGGATGGAATAGAATATAAAATATGGAATGAAATGGAATGGAATAAGGAATACGATAGAATATAGAATAGAGTAGAGTATGAATATAATAGAATATAATAGATGATATGGAATGGAATAGAATAGAATAGATAGAATAGAATAGAAAATATGGAATGGAATGGAATAGGATAGAATATAGAATAGAGTAGAGTACTGTAGGAATAGAATGGAATAGATGATATGGAATGGAATAGAATAGAAAATAGTCATACAGTCACAAGTGGGAGGAGATGGGTGAAAGGAGTGATGAGAAGATTAATAGTAGTAGTAGTGCAGACTGTGTAAATAGTTGGACAGTGTTGAGGGGATTATATGTTTAGCTGAGTGATGGCATCCAGGAATATAAATTGTAAAGATACAAGCAACACGATTATAGTCATAAGTGGGAAGAGATAGATACTAGGAAGGATGAGAATAATAATAGTAATACAGTCTTACTAAATAGTTGGACAGTGTTGAGGGAATTAGTTGTTTAGCAGAGTGATGGCGTTTGGGGAAAAAAACTGTCCTTGTGTCTAGTTGTTCTGGTGTGCAGTGCTCTACAGCGTCGTTTTGAGGGGAGGAGTTGAAACAGTTTATGTCCGGGATGTGAGGGGTCTGTACATATTTTCACAGCCCTCTTTTGACTCGTGCACACAGGTCCTCCATGGAAGGCAGGTTGGTAGCCATTGTTTTTTCTGCAGTCCTAATTCCTCTCTGGAGTCTGTGTCTGTCCTGTTGGGTTGCAGAGCCCAACCAGACCGTTATAGAGTTATCTCAAGAGCGTTGCTCTTTAGGGTTAGGGTTAGAGTTTAGCTCAACCAGCCAGCCCTGGCTCAGGCAGCCTCTCTTTGCCCTAGGATGGCACCCTGGAGCTGATCTTCGCCGCCTATGCCACCACCGCCAGTGCCAGCACCTCTCTGATCATGCAGCTGCTGAAACACCCGTCGGTTCTGGAGAAGCTTCGCGAAGAGCTGAGGAGCAAGAGCCTGCTGCACAACGGCTGCCTCTGCGAGGGGGGCCTTCATCTGGAGACCATCCACAGCCTTCAGTACCTGGACTGTGTCATCAAGGAGGTGCTCCGGCTTTTCACCCCCATTTCGGGGGGGTACCGGACGGTGCTGCAGACCTTTGAGCTGGATGTGAGTAAGAGGACCTTGCATACGAAGCCCCCTGCCCTGGAGAAAGGCACTTCTAGGCCAGTGTTTCTCTGCCTTGGCCCCTTTAAGAGGGGTGGACTTCCAATTCCCCAGCAGCAAAGAATTCTGGGAGTGTTGAAGTCCACACCTCTTAAAGCAGCCAAGGTTGAGAAACAGTGTTCTAGGTTGACACTGTTCAGAGTATTGCAGGGTAAATTCAGCGCCAGAAAAGTAAACACAGATGGCTGAGGCTTCATTTAACTTCTTTATAAACACATAAAGTGAATTTTACAATACCAGTTGTAGATTTGTCCAACATGGTGCAAACTCAAACAGAAGCAGACAAGTTACAGGTTCAGAGCAGAACAGCAACTCAACTTCAGCAGAAACAGAACTCAGTTTCACTTTAGTTCAGCAGGCAAGCAAGACACACAGCAGAGGAGAGAAGCAGTTTCATTTCCAATAGACAGACTCAGAGCTTAACCTAGCTGCAGAGCTGCAGAGCCACGCCTAGGCTACTTCTAGTTTCAGTTTCCAAACAGTCCTCATTGGCTGACTTAGCTGCTGTTCGTTGGCTGACCTTGTTACCGTGCTCTATTCCAGTTCACGAATATACACAAATTTGGGGGTAAAGTCTCCAGGATAGAAAGGGGCACCCTGTGACCTGCCCAGTACCCTGGGATTGCATTGCTTTAATTTGGTGGCCAAATGATCAATACTTTTGCAGGGAATAATATTTTTAGAGCGATAATAGGAGCAGGAGGTCTCTGGGAGGCAAGCAGGAAAACCTCAATCCAAGCCAACAATTTGGGTCCATTTCTGAGAGAGTTTGGAGAGATGAAAGTGGTTTGTCTTCTAATGGCTCCCACCCTTTTGCGCGCTGTCAATCCACGTCTTTACCCTAAACCTGTTGAAAAGCTGTAGGCTGGTGGCAACCTTGGACAGCTCTAGAAGCTGCAGAAGGTCTGAAGGCCAAGCAATTGGACCTGCCCCTCCCAGAGGGTTGTTGCTGGGTTACAACATCTGGATCATGTGCAAGAAGTCAGGAGCCAGGATAGAGTTCAAAAGTGCCAAGGGTTTATTTCATCTTCCTCAACACAAGAATCTGATCTACTAATGGTCGAGGTGAATTGGCGCCAGATAAAAGTCAACTGACTTCAAGGCAGGCTGGGCTCATGATGTTGTCTTTGGGCTGACCCTGGTCATCCCCTACAGCCGCCGCCTTCCAACTGGGTGGACAGCTCCTTCTTGACAAAGCAAACCACTAGTATGCAAACAGGGAACAAACCCCCCACCTTCCCTTCTGGCACTGATGATGTTATCTAATTGGGTCATGAAATGTCTGCAGGAAAACCACCAAGCTCAGAGAGAACTCAGGATTCCCACAGTTCTTCCTCCTCCTCCCTCTCCCCCCTCATCCTCTTCAACCCTTCTCCTTTCTAGCACTGATGACGTTACCTAGTTAGGCCATGAAATGTCTGCAAGGAAACAACCAAATTCAGAAAGCACCAAGGACCCCACAGTCCTCCTCCTCCTCCTCCTCCTCCTCCTCCTCCTCCTCCTCCTCCCACACCCCTCTCCCTTCTAGCATTGATGATGATACCTAGTTAGGTCATGAAATGGTTTGTGTGCATGGGACATCTCGAATTTCCTAGGACTTGGGGTTCCCCTAAATCAGAGCCCCCCCGTTCTAGAATAGCCCCAGTGCCTCTCGAACCTTGGGAGGGTCTCTCTGTCTCTCTCTGTGCCCCCCACCCTGACCATCTGTTTCGTGTTTCTCCAGGGCTTCCAGATCCCCAAAGGATGGAGCATCATGTACAGCATCCGAGACACCCACGACACCGCTCCCGTCTTCAAGGACGTGGACGTCTTTGACCCCGATCGCTTCAGCCAGGACCGCAGCGAAGACAAAGATGGCCGCTTCCACTACTTGCCCTTCGGCGGAGGGGTACGGACCTGTCTCGGCAAACACCTGGCCAAGCTGTTCCTCAAAGTGCTGGCCATCGAGCTGGCCAGCATGAGCCGCTTTGAGCTGGCCACCAGGACTTTCCCTCCGGTCACCCTGGTGCCGGTGGTGCACCCGGTCGATGGACTCAAGGTCAAATTTTTTGGACTCGATTCAAACCAGAATGAAATCTTGACAGAGCAAGAGGCCACGTTGGAGGCCACGGTGTAGGCCAAAGCGTGCTCTGGGCTGGCGAGGTAGGAAGAGACCGGAACAGAGACGGGGAAGGAAGAAGCTCGACCCACCACCGCTGGAGGGAGAAGGGCTGACCTTGGTGGACACATTCGGCAAAAGCCGCCTCCAGAGAATATGCCAAAACTGTGCGGGTGTTTCACTTGGGTGTGTTTGTGTGTGTGTGTGTGTGTGTGAACAGTGGATTTCTCCTCCGGGGCTTTCTGTTCGGTTTCATGTTTGAACACCGGCGAGAAGCAAATTGTGTTGACCATAACCAGCGTATGTATGTGTGTGTGTATATATATATATATATACACTTACTCCCAAGTGTTAATCAGGCAGTTGTCATTCCACAGTAGTTGGGAACTCTTTTTTTTGTCTTTGCTATTCAACATGGCCATGGGACTCCCCAAGGGGGCCCCCGGGTGCAAAATCGACCCTGCTTGCTTTTGTGGCACGAGGGTGGGAAGGAGCCCTCCCTGCAGGCATCAGGTATAACAACAACATCCAGGAAGGGAGGGGATCAGGAAGATGGCTGGGGAACAGAGGTGGTATTCAGCCAGCTTGGACCGGTTCAGGAGAACCGGTAGTGCAAATTTTGAGTCGTTCGGAGAACTGGCCAATCCCACCTCTGACTGGCCCCGCCAACCCCCATCTCTTCTCTGCCTCCCATTGAGTCCCAGCTGATCAACTGGGTCTTCCTTTGGTTGCCCTGCACAGGAGAACGGAGCTGGAAAGCAGGTTGGTGGGGTGGGGAGAGAAGGGGGATTTTACAGTATATCCTTCCCCTGTCGTGCCCACCAAGCCACGACAACAGAACTGGTAGTAAAAAATTTTTTTTGAATCCCACCAGTGCTGGGGAAGCCCCACGTTTTTTGGCAGGGAAGAAGACTCAGCTGGGAGGTGGGGCGAGAGGGGGATCTCAAGGGGTATTTTGCAAAGCTTTGAGGTGGGCACTGGAGTTCTGCCCAGCTGCCATCATTTCTCTTCCTTCGACAGTTGCCAAAAAGTGAGGGTTACTCTAGCCTGGTGAGGAAAATAAAGGCTGCAGAAATGGGCTGCGGATTTCCTGGGTTTCTTTGCTCAAGGAAGTTTTTGGGGTGTCTTCTCTGCGGCCCTCAGTTCCAGGTGGGTCAGCCCCATCTTCCTGAGGAGACCATGCCTGGGCAGGGTCCAAGAAGGCCCCTCGAAGCTGTCTGTTGCTGCTTTCCTGCTTTCCTTGTGTCCCTGCAAACTCCCTTCCACAATGAGTCAGGCCTTGGGTTTCCTTCCGGACAGACTCGCAAGCCTTCCCAATCCCAAAACCGGAAGTTGTTCCTTTGCCACAAGTGGCTGTTTGACAAGGGAATTTTATATCTAGCTATCTCTGTCTCTGAGGAGTCCTTGATGCTCTCTGAACGTGGTTATTTCCTTACAGACGTTTCATGACCAAACTAGATAACGTCATCAGTGCTAGTAGGGAGTGAGGTTTGCTAATAAATGCTCTTTACTAGCATTGATGATGTTACCTAGTTTGGTCATGAAGCATCTGCAAAAAAACAACCAAGCTTAGAGAGCACCAAGGACCACACAGTTGTGTCCTCCTCTTCCTCCCCCTCCCTCTCCTCCCCCTCCCAAACCTCCCTCCCTTCTAACACTGATGATATTACCTACCTGGGTCATGAAAAGTCTGCAACAAAACAACCAAGGATTCCTCATTTCAGCTACAAATATTCTCCTTTATCGATCTATCCATATACATGCGTGCATTATATTTAGTCCGGGATAACTCCTGTTCGATTGTCCACTCCTAATTAATATAACTTGATTTAAAAATAAAATTAAATGAAATATTAAAATGTTACTGCAGTGGATTTGCAGAGTGAAGCACTTTCGAAACTCAGAATATGTGTTTGTCTTGCGTTTCTTTTGATTGCTTAGCACAGTTTCCTGTGGGCGATATTGTTTTATACAACAAAAGTGGTGGGCTTGTCTGGTCTGAGTTTATAAACTATTAAGTATTATTTTTGTTATTAAGTCAGAAGGGATATTTAGTCTAACAATGTTGCTGTCCAAAATGTGTGTTATTTAGTAAAATATGAATGATTCCACCGCTTTGCTTTCCTTCCCCCCTCCCCTCCCATTCTTGATGGCAAACCTGTCTGTTGAGAAAAAAAAAAAAAGATGGTTAGCATGGAGCCACATTTGGGGGGAGGGAGCAAGAGCTGTTTTGTGCGATTCCCTACAGCACAAACCTTGTGCAGAATTGGCGCTGGCACCTCCCCCTGAGCTGTGTTGAGTTTAATATTAAAATAAATAAGCACCTGTTGTGTTCGGAAATATATTTCAGTGCTGTGTGTCTTGTGCCCTGTGGCTTTTGATGTGTCTGTAATGCGGGGAAGAGGGGCAGGTCAGCCCACCCCGACCAACCTTCCCTTTCCAGCCTCTCCCTTGGCAAGAAACAGTTCCAGGATGCCACATCTGTCTCCCCTTCTCTCTCTTGTTCAGGTGCCATCTGGGGGGGGGGGGGGAGGCGGGGGATTCACAAGTGGCCAAGAACATCTTTGTGGGTGGATCTGCTTCTGCGACCAGAGGTGGGCTGGGGAGGGAAGCGTTGTGTGTGGTGTGATCTTATTAAAAAATAAAAAAAATCCATGTGGCTATTTTATAGATTTCCATCATTATCATCATCATCATCATCTTAATAATAATAATAATAATAAAAAAATGAATTTAAGCCCTTTTGTGTCACTGGTTCTTGGATTTGTATTGCTGTTGAAGAAGACAGTCCCCCCTGGACTGCAAGGAGACCCAATCTGTCGATCCTAAAGGAAATCCACCCGGACTGTCCTTGGGAGGGACTGTGATGACCCAAAGGCAACGCAGTCACATAAGTAAGAAAAGTCCCTTTTAATACCTCCAACTTTGCCCCCAATGTCCAATTATCTTCGTCTGGAGAAAAGCTCTCCCAAGAACAGTCTTTAAGGGGAGGAAATTCACTCCGAAAACAAAGTGCATACAAACAGTAACTCAAAATCCACACAAACCACGCTGCAGCAATTAACTGGACAGGGCAGGAGAAGGAATTGCACACGTCAAAGGCCAAAACACACACAGTTGGGAAGACGCCAGGAGCCCAGATAAGCCTTGACAAAGCAAGATAATACACAATTTGCTTCCAACAAGTTGTTGTGCACAACAACTTTTAAACACTGTGTTCCCAGCTGCAGGTAATGAAGGGAATCAGGGCCCTTTCCTCCCCCCGTAAGCCATGCAACTCACATTGCTCCCTTCTCCGTTCCTCCCTGCATGCCCTAGGATGAAGAGGGGGTGGGCCTGGATCTTCCTCTGAATTCCCTCTGCCTTGCTCTACCTCTCCCCTGCTCTGCCCAGCTGGACTGTGCCCTTCCTCAGTTTCTTCCAGAGCCAACAGAGCCACACTCCCACTCCCTGTCAGCTGCTCGGCCTCCCCCTCGGAATCAGATTCTGACAGGGGCATGACAGGGACAGATAGATCATAGAATAACAGTTGGAAGGGATCTTGGAGGTCATCTAGTCCAACCCCCCTGCTCGAGCAGGAGAGTCCATTCCAAATATTAGCCTCTGCCTAGGATTGAACTCACAATCTCCTCATATAGAGGAATTATTGAGTCTGTCATCTGCACTTCTATAACTAACTGGTTTGGTTCTGCAACCCAACATGACAGACACAGACTTCAGAGAGTAATTAGGACTGCAGAAAAAACAATTGCTACCAACCTGCCTTCCATGGAGGACCTGTATGTATACCGCATGAGTCAAAAAGAGGGCTGTGAAAATATTTACAGACCCCCTCACATCCTGGACATAAACTGTTTCAACTCCTTCCCTCAAAATGATGCTATAGAGCACTGCACACCAGAACAACTAGACACAAGGACAGTTTTTTCGCGAAAGCCATCACTCTGCTAAACTAATAATTCCCTCAACACTGTTCAACTATTTACAAAGTCTGCACTACTATTACTATTAATCTTCACATCACTCCTTATCACCCATCCCCTCTCACTTGTGACTGTATGACTGTAACTGTCGCTTTATATTGACTGTTTCCTGGTACGATTTGTTTACTCATTTATTTATTTATTTAATTTATAATGCCGCCTGTTCGCCCATGGCAACTGGAGGTAGCTTACATAATGCAAAACCATATTTTAAATAAATAAATAAAAAACAATAAAAGCTAACAAAAATAATCAAATAAATTAGTAAAGTACAATAAAACAAAATTTGGGAAAACAAAAAAAAAATTGTACCCTATGACTATTATTAAGTGTTGCACCTTATGATTCTTGAGTCTTGACAAATGTATCTTTTCTTTTATGGACACTGAGAGCATTTGCACCAAAGACAAATTCCTTGTGTGTCCAATCACACTTGGCCAATAAAGAATTCTATTCTATTCTATTCTATTCTATTCTATTCTATTCTATTCTATTCTATTCTATTCTATTCTATTCTATTCTATTCTATTCTATTCTAGACTGTTTTCTAGTATGATTTGATTGCTTTTTGTACCCTATGACTATCATTAAGTGTTGCACCTTATGACTCTTGACAAATGTATCTTTTCTTTTTACGTACACTGAGAGCATTTGCACCAAGACAAATTCCTTGTGTGCCCAATCACACTTGGCCAATAAAGAATTCTATTCTATTCTATTCTATTCTATTCTATTCTATTCTATTCTATTCTATTCTATTCTATTCCTTCCAATATTCTATTCTATTCTATTCTATTCTATTCTATTCTATTCTATTCTATTCTATTCTAGACTGTTTTCTAGTATGATTTGATTGCTTTTTGTACCCTATGACTATCATTAAGTGTTGCACCTTATGACTCTTGACAAATGTATCTTTTCTTTTTACGTACACTGAGAGCATTTGCACCAAGACAAATTCCTTGTGTGTCCAATCACACTTGGCCAATAAAGTATTTCTATTCTATTGTGAGATGAGAGCTTCATCTCTAGGCCACTGGAGCCTGAGGCTGAAGCTCAAATGCTTCAGCCACCAAATGAGAAGAGAGGAAGGACTCCTTGGGGAAGACCCCAAATGTTGGGAAAGATGGAAGGCCAAAGGGGAAGGGGGTGGTTAGAGAGGGTCATCGACACAACAAACTTGGATTTGGTCAAACTCCAGGAGGCAGGGGAGGACTGTGTATGTGCGCGCGTGTGTCTGGTGTGTTGTGGTCCATGGGGGTTGCGAAGAGTCAGTCACAACTTAGCGACTGGACAACAACTGAGGCCAAATCATATTGGCGGAATTTGGGGCTGGTTTGGGGCTGGGAGGGCTTCAGGGGTCTACCAGGGGCAGATCCAAAGCTGAATGAAAGGAAAGAAGGGGGAATTGCCTGAGGTCTGCAGCAAAGCACACTCAGCCTCCCACAGTTTCATTGTTCTCCACATAAGGTCGGGCTAGCTGTTATATATTTACATACTCACCTTGGATTGGTCAGTCCTGACGGCGGGAAATTCGAAGAGCCGTCATTGGCTGCGAGCCGTGAGCAGCCCGCTATAAAGAAGGCTGCCGCGGTTCCGCGGTTGTTCAGTTCTAGAGAGAAATAAAAAGAA